ATTCATTTGAACATTTCTTCCAGAAATGAGAAGTGAAGATTCAATCGAGTCCTTTCTGAGGCGGAGAGGAGAAATTTGCATCTCCCATTTGCTACTCAGTTGTACTTTCTACCAACTGTGGACATGAGAGATACAGATACTTGTAGCCTAGTAGGACCAGTCTTTCTGAGGGTCTTTCCAATAATCAAGGAACTTCTCAATTGTTTCAGTCTTCCTCAAAGGCAGCTTAGAGCAGAAGCTGTAGTTTTAGCTGTTCTGAATCCCCTTGAGAACTTAAAAAGCCTTTCTTTGCACAGACTATAGAGCTAAGCTGGGTAAACCACCATGGGGTGAAATAAAGGTTGTGAATATTTTCATTTTAAATTCTCTGTTTCATGGCCCCATCCCCTTTGAATATTCTGTCTACTCTTGTGGTTAAAATAAAGCTGATTTTTGGCCAGGTTTGCAAGACCTTGAGACCAAGATGACAAGGTTTATGACTCTTCTGCAGACTGTAATCACTTGCAGGGGAGGACATACTACATTCTAGATTTTGTTCTCATTGCTACTTATGTTGTCCAACAGCTCTGTTGCACAAAATACACAAGCAGCTCCAGAAGTTTTGGAGAAGAACATGGGGCCGTGCTAGGCAGAGAAAGGAAATGATGCTGACTTTGTCAGTGAGTAGTAAACGGGTCATCAAGGTACTCTCTAGCTAGGTGTAATTTCATCCACACCCAGAGTTCTGATGCACAACAAAGTTTTGGTGATGGTGTTTTCCACCCATCAGCTGAGCCATTTGATATGTTTTCTTTGGTTTAAGCCAAGACTGTTTTTAGATTATCATTGCAGGAGGGTATAGCAGTCTAAGACATGAGCAGTCCCCACATGCTTCCTTCTTGCCCCTCTTTCTTCCCCATCAGAGGTCAATGCCCCAAAGCTGAGCTGGAAGAAGAGAATGTGTGGTATCCTTCATCTCTTTCGTGTCAGCATCGTACATTGTAATTTAAGTCACTGTTGATGGCACTTTGAGGTTAACTGTGAAAACTTTGCACTGACACAGATTAGTTTAATTCTTCCTGGTGAGTTCTAGGACTTGATCACCTCCAACCTGAGGGAACTAATGTTTATTTAACTCTATTACTCTGGCTAGATGCCTATTAGCTATATTTAAACAATTCTAAGTGCAAATTGTGGTTTAGTTTTCTCAAATATATGAAGAGTGTTCAGTAACATATTGCAGGTGCATCACAACTTCAGATTTGTGTCTAGACAAAGCCTAAGTGCTTATACAGAGACTAGCACAGTGAAGAGTTGATCTGAGCCAGAGCTTCTATGCTAATATCATTTAAGAATTAAAAGAGCTAAAATGCCATGAGGATAATATAAAAGTAGGCATATTTGTGATCCTCTGACCTCACAGATGCCAGATGTGCTGATTTTGGAAAACTCTTCAAAGAGAACTTGAATTCAGCTCGTATACTTCTTATCTGTAGGAAAATCAAGACTGTATATATATTTTGTGTGTGTATGTATATAAAATAAATGTATTTATATATTTGGGAATAGAACAGCTGTTTCTACTTCTCCTTCATCTGCTTACTAAAGTGTTACACATTCTTTATATTATGCTGGTGCTGTAGCTTAGGTCAGAGAATGAAGTATGTTAGGGCCTCGGTAAATGATCACCCTATGGCTTTAGCTGTTTTCAGGATTACCTGACATATATATCAGACAGAATAATCATGTCATTGGTATCATTCCCTTTCTTGTTTTTCAGTATATATACACGTTATTTCTTCTTTCCCCACACATGGAATCATTTTCAGTTTTTAGTTCCAGATGTTTACAGATGAGCTTTTTGTGGCATGAGCTCAAAATCGATATCAGCTGGAATTTTAAAGATAGGGTTATTTTCAAACCTTGTTGGGTCACAAGTTCTTGCAGCATTCTTCTCCAACAGAGAGCTTTTTTGCTCATTTGGAGTATTTTCTGCAGTTTTCTTTCTTCCTCAAGCATCACATTCTCAGCTTGTTTTCCAGAAATAGCCACTTCCTCTTCTGTGGAGAAGATGGATTTTAATATGCCATGCCACTATACTCTTTTTCAAGAGCTTTGAGTACTTTCACAATTTTCTCAAGTAGCTGATTGTACCATTAAGCTGTAATTAATATCTTCTGTAGTTGATATTCTTGTAATTCATGATCTCCACTCCCTTCTGCAAGGCATAGTAACTTCTCTCTGAGAGTTGGTAGTCATGCACTGGCTTCAGATATAAACTGGTTTTCGAGGTTATTTCCACTTCATGACTGTGGCTCACAGTTCTTTCAGTTGTGCTGATGCATCTGGTTTTAGAATTGAATCAGTGAATCACATTAATTGGGAGGGAAGTAATTTTAAAAGGGATCATCTCAGTGATGCAATTTATGTCGCAGCTATACAAATAAGTTTATCAGCACAATTGAGAAGGAGGCAGATTGCACCAGGAGGATCAGAATTAGCAGCTGGGGTAGAAAGCTTGTTAAGGGAAAATTGCTCAATTATTGTTAGAGGAACTGAGCTATTTTCTTTGTTTTCTGTTGTTAGAACTGCTTTCCTGCTCCACCTTCTGCCCTTTTCCCCTATTTTAGGTCAGTTTTATTTTTTTAAAAACCTTCTGTCACAAAGTATCGAAAACATCCATCTCTTGTAGGAAAGTGGTTAATTTCCAGATTGTTGTGACAGCAAAGTGATTTCTGACTCTAGATGCAGCAGCGATGATGGCTCTCTTGATTCCCCTTCCAGTCACCTTTTGTGAAAGTTTTGAAGAAAAAATGTGCTTAGATTGAGCTAATAGTTATATGCTAGGCTCAGAGAATTTCATCTGGGTTAGTTCTTTGTGGTGTGTGAGAGAAATAGCAGATAGCACCTATTTGCCATTATTTTGAAGACCAATTAAAAGTAGAGTGTTTCCTTCACTTGTAGCTTTGGGTGACTTCCCATGCAGAAGACGGGGCAATGTATCTGTGTTCTCTATTAGTGTCAGAGTTTCACTCATACTTGTGTTGCACAGTGTCCTGTGAAGACTGACAATTACCAGGTTCATTTACCTGTGGAAGATCATTCACACATCCTTGATCTGACCACTTCAAAGGTGATAAAATAGGACAAATAGACATGCAATAAGGGGGGGGAAGGGGGAAGTTTTGAACTATTTCCCCCAAAACATAATGGCTCTGGGGAGAAAAAAACCTTTCAGAAATCCTTCTGTGAAGGTGCTAGCAAGCATACTGCAAGTACTTTAAAGGCATGAGTTTTCCAAAGTGAAATACCATCTGTCTGTCACACAGCTAATCAGAGACAGCAATTCTTCCTGAGCTTTTTCCTTGGAAAGAGTCAGAAAAAAAGAAACCCAGATTTGCTCTGTTTGAAGTTCTCTTTCCAAGTACCGTGTTTTACTTGCTGTGAAACATGAACTCTGAGAGTCTGGGTTTTGTGCTGATATTTTACTACCAAAGAACTAAACATAGAAAGCAGGAAATAAGCCCCATCTCAGAAAAAATGCCATGTGCACACCGTTTCCACACTTCAGATGATTTGCTTCAGTTTGTTTTGGGCTGCACTCTTCTTTTTGACATCTTAATCTCTATTGAAAATGAGTTTCTTCCTAAAGGTTTTCTTTATTTGCCAACCAGTGTTTGAAAAGTGAGTTTTGTTTTAAACTATTATTATAGAATATATTATCAAACCTTTGACAACTGTCTTTATTAAAGGTATCATGTTAGATTATTGTGTTCCTGAGAATAGTTTAATTTGTGTGCAGAATCTATTTGCTTTTTCAGCTCCTCTGACATGAACATACTTTATCTGTCCTTGGACTAGTCCTTACAAATAAAACAAGGTGGTGGTGTTTGGTTCTTTCTGTTGTTGGGTTTTTTTTTCCTTTCTTTTTTACTAATGGGGAATTGCTTATATACAGCAGTATAATTTGTGTCCAAAATGTGGGTAAATGTGGGAGGAAAGGATCACACATCTGTTCTGACACAAGCACACAATGCTAAAAGATAGTCATAGTTTGAGGAATATCAACATTTTAGCTTTTTTTTTTTTTTTTCCTAAAAAAATGTAGAGAGATATAAAACTGACTTATCTTAATTGAAAAAGCCAGTCTATTTTCTAAACAGAAATTGGCCAAAGAGGTGTGAAAATGAACTGCATCTGGCAGTTGGAAGAATTTGACAAGTTCCTTTTTTGTTGGGTCTTTAGATCAATAACCTTAGCTGGAATTTGGAAAAAAAAAAAAAATAAAAAATTGAAAAGCCACTGACTTGCTTTGAAAACCACCTAAGAGCAAAGTCAGATGTTTGTTTGAGAAACAGTTGCAGTGATAACAAGAAGTTACTTCTCCTCAACTGTGGTACATAACTGACTTGCAAACTCTATTCCCTGCAGTATAAGATCAGATGGGTTCATGTAAACTGCTGCCAAGATTTCTCTCACCCTTAGTTGTTAAATCACCAATGCAGTTAAACTGATTAAAGTCATATTTTTCCAAGACTTCTAAGAGAAACAGATATCCAACAAACAAACATAATTTGGTGATATTATTTAAAAGTAACTTCTATTTAAAATATTAGGAAAGATTACAAACTAAGTTATTGTTGCTTTCTATAAAGATTGAGATTGCTGGGCATGCCACAGTTAAATTAATTTCACATATATTTGCAAAGAAAATCTGATTTAGCATTTGTGCTTTGCTCTGCCATTATTTATTAAATATTGCTGCAAGAGGAACTTCATCTCTCTTTTTAAGGCATTTCTTCTAATAGGAGTTATTTCTCGTATCCAGATCTGAACTAGTTACTTTTTTATTAGCACAGGGCAGAAGAGATGAAAAGGCAGATATGTCTTACAGCTGAAACTCCTGTTAAATCAAATGTTCTTGGGTGTGGATCTGCAGTGGCACCTAAATCCATGAGGGCTATTGGTGTGCTGATGTGGAGTCTTGCATTTAGTCATTTTCTAAAATGTGTTGTTTCTAGGTCTACAGACAAGACTGTGAAACCTTTGGCATGGTAGTGAAGATGCTAATTGACAAAGATCCATCATTAGAGAAGTCCATTCAATTTGCCCTGCGGCAGAATTTGCATGAAATAGGTGAACGATGCATTGAAGAACTCAAACATTTCATTGCTCAATATGATGCTGCCAATCAAGATCTATCAGAATCCTTCAAAGAGGGCTCATACTAAGGACAGAAATATGCTTCTAGATCCTCTGCATTGTGTATGCCATAACACATGAATCTGCTTCTTGTGGGGAAAGAGGAGATTTTGTTGGAGATCGGAACCCAAGGCCTGCGCTCCCTCCTAGTAGCTCAGGTGGTGGTCTCGTGGTCACTGTGGTCTCCACAACTGTATTCTTCCTACCTGTACCTATTGACATATATTCCTTTGGAAGGATGTTCTTTCTAAAAATGCTGTAAAGTAGCAAACTATTTTTGAAATCTTTACACAGTTACCTAGGAAAAAACGTTCGGTTGGATGTATGTACACTTATGTTTTGACGTTTTTAAGTGTAACTTCAAACACTATTTTTTATTAAAATAACAAAATGCAGCTCTTCATTCCTCAACTTATGCAGAAATATGTCTTGTTTTTATATATCCTATAGGAAGGGAAGACTTGCAAATTTGTTCGCAACTCTGGTTTAAGTTATTTATTATAGTTTAATTTTAAACTTCAGCTTCATTCTGTAAAATTAAACTAGGGGTTATCTCTAGTCTCTGGCTCCCAGAGCAACTCTAACTGCTTGATATATGATGTGCTGTATTTTTATTGTAATTGCAGGTTCTGCAAATGCCTTTTAAATTTTGGTGTTTTCCATATCATGAGTCATCGCTGGTAAGCAGTATTATGTAGGATGAATCCATTTTTTGTTACTAATTGCTACTAAACATTTCCTTTTTATGTTTTTAACTACACCTTACAGGGTGCAGGCAGCCACTGAGCAGGGTAAGGTCCCTTCTCCTCCTCTCTCCCTCTGCCCTCTTATGCCTTCTCACCACTTTTCACCCATCAGTTTTAACTGATGGAGGTTGTGTGTAATCTTTTATTTCTGACATCAAGAAGGAGCAGCAGTTTGGGGTGGCAAGGTGGGGCAAGGAAAGCAAGCGGGACCATCTCCTTAGTAACTCCAAGTTGCTTTGGATTAGGTGTAACGTGAAGTTGTACCCTAAGGCCCCAAATTCATCATCATTTCAAACCTAGGTGATTCTGTGTAATGTCTGGAGCCACTTTTGACTTGATAGCGTGACTTGTAGTTGGGGAGCAGGGGCTGAGGAGAGTCAAGAGGCTGCCAGTACTATGTGATTACTTTTCAGAGGTGAAAAATATTTGGAACTCATTGGTGGTATCCTGGCAATTGGATTGCGTACAGCTTTATATTTAATAATATCCTGGTTTTTATGAAAGTTTTAGGAAAGGGATAAATTGAGTCATAATCACACAGGGGTAAGTACAAGCACGATTGTTTTGTATACATTTGCATTTAGAAACACGTGAAACTCTGTAAAAGGACTAAGGACTAAAGCTCGCCAAAGTCCACAGTATTTTTAAATGACAATGTGAATTCAGCCCCCTTATCAAGGTAGCTTCTCGGATTTCATCAGAATGGTGCACAGAAAAGTAAATGAAATAGCCGTGATTTTACATGTACAAGTTACTCTATGTATGGCAGCACCTTACACATGCAAATCTTGATATGGTATATTAAATATGTATTATTTCAGATTTCTGAGATGCTTGATTAGTTTTGATGTCAGTAGGGTGTGTTTTTGCAGATGGCTTTTGTTGGTTTCTAAGAGTTCACGTTACTCAAAGGAGATGACCTGCAACTTCGCTTGTTGGCATCTGGGATTGTGTGGGCTGCACAGCGAGTGGGAATCCTGTGGGATGCTGATCTGGGGAGGGAGAGAGGGGAAGAGAGGCAGCCTGCTGTGGCACAGTAGCTAGACCTGACTCGCCCCTTCTGGCAACAACCTGATTTACAGAGATCAGTCATGAAACCATGGAAAAGTCTTCTCTGATGCAGAAGCTTCACTACTACAGTGCTTCACTACTTCCTTACAGGACCAAGGGCCTTATGGTGTTACATCAGAGTTTCTGCTTTGGTTTAGAAATGCTAATGAAAGAAATACTGAAATAATGCTTAATATATTTTTTATTAAAAATGTCCATTATTACTGTACAGTTTGTTAGGAGTCTTCTTTGTTAGAAGTCTGATAAATTTTACTACGATAAAAGTATCTGATTTTTCAAGTGTTTTTCTGTAAAGTAATACCTAAGCTTACAGTCAGAATCATTCATTATCTCGAGTTGGAAGGGACCCTTAAGTCATTGAGTCCAACTCCCTGCACCTCACAGGACTGCCTGGGAACTATATGACTAAGAGCATCATCCCAACACTCCTGGAACTCTGACTGACTTGGTGCTGTCGCCCCATCCTTGGGGAGCCTGTTCCAGTGCCCAGCCACCCTCTCCGTGAAGAACTTTTTCCTAATGTCTGGTATCAGCTTTCCCTGATGCAGCTTCATTCCATTTCCTTGTGTCCTGTTGCTGGCCACCAGAGAGAGATCAGCACCTCCACCTCTGCTGCCTGCCTTAAGGAAGTTGTAGCCTGCAACGAGGTGACCCCTCAGCCTTCTCTTCTCCAAGCTGAACAAACTGAGTGACCTCAGCTGTTCCTTGTAAGGCTTGCCCTCAAGACCTTTCACCATCTTGGTTGCCCTCCTCTGGACACGCTCTAATAGTCTGATGTCCTTATATTGAGGCAGTCAAAACTGCACACAGTACTTGAGGTGGGTCCACACCAGTGCAGTGTAGAGTGGGACAGTCACCTCCCTTGACCAGCCAGCTATGCAGCGCCTGATGCACCCCAGGGCACACTTGGCCCTTTTGGCTGCCAGGGCACAGTTGACTCATGTTCATCTTGCCATCAACCCAAACCCAACCCAGATCTCTTTCCACAGGGCTGTTCTCCAGCCTCTTGTCCCCCAGTTTGTATGTACAACCAGGATTACCCCATCTCAGGTGTAGAATCCAGCACTTGATCGTTAAATTTCATACAGTTGGTGATTGCCCAGTCTATCCAGATCTCTCTGTAAGGCCTGTCTACCCTTAAGGGAGTCCACAGCTCCTCCTAGTTTAGTATTGTTGGCAAACTTAATTTAATGTACATTCAAGTCCTGTGTCTGTATCATTTATAAAAGCATGAAGGAGCCCTGGCCCTAAAACTGAGCGCTGGAGAACCCTGCTGGTGACTGGCCACCAGCCTGATGTAACTCCATTTACTCTTAACTCTTTGAGCCCGACCTGTCAGCCAATATTCTTGGATTTTTCAGATTAGCTAATAGGTCAGTAAGATCTTTCAGAAGTTTGTTAGGTTGTCGTTAGCTTAATCTAACTTTTTTTTTTTTAATGCATTAAATTTTCCTCAGGAGCCCTTTGAATTTTTTATAAGTGCTTTTTCTATGAAAGGTTAATTCACATCCATGAGTGAGTGACAGATAATGGGTCTTCCATTTAATATTTGTCATTATGTTGAACGTTCACATTTAACCTTTCGTGACGTATGCTTTCTGTTGATGTAAGTAGAATGTTATGGCAATCCCTTAACTTAAGCAAGTAACATGGCTTTTAGTCTTGCTTCCTGTAGAACAAACATCAACTCTGGATTTATTTCGTATCAGTGTAAAAAGTTGTCCTTGGGCTGGGGCTCCTGGAACAGGGGTAGGAATGGCATTGGTGGAAGGAACCAGATGGTGCCCTGGAGGAATTTATTTTCTTTGTCACCTTAAGAGCTCCTGAGAAAAAACCCCTACTCCTAGCACTCCTTAATGTGCAGATACACCTGAAAGAAGAAAAAGGGAGGAGGAAAAGGAAGGAAAGGAACGTGGAAATTCAGTGCTACTTTTGGAGGCTGGAGCGGTTCTGAACGGATCTGTAGCCTCGCTGGGTGAGCTGGCAGCTCTGAGTGACAACGTAAGCAGTTGGGGCGAAAATCAGCAATAACATCACTACAGATATGAAAGGAGCTCACGCCTTGTGTCAGAGAAGGACCAGTTCCTTGGGACTCTGTTGTCTGTGCAAGGTTTCCTCTTTTGATGAGGATAATGTATTGCTCCAATATTTCTTAATCATGAAGGTTGTACTGGGTTTATCTGGGATAGAGTTAATTTTCTTCATAGTAGCTGGTAAGGTGGTGCTATGCTTTGGGTTTGTGATGGCAACAGTTGATTGATAATGCAGAGATGCTTTCATTGTTGCTGAGCAGTCCTTACACAGCATCGAGGCCTTTTCTGCTCCTCACCTCACCCCACCAGAGAGGAGGCTGGGGGTGCACAAGAAGCTGAGAGGGGACACAGCTAGGACAGCTGACCCCAACTGACCAAAGGAATATTCCATACCATGTAACATCAGGCTCAGCAATAAAATGTGTGGGGGGGTAAGTTTGCCAGGACTGCAATTGCTCAGGGACTGGCTGGGTATCGGTTGGCTAGTGGAGAGCAACTGGGGGTTATTTGTTTGTGTGTGTTTTGTTTTAACCTATTCAGCTGTCTTTATCTCAACCCATGAGTTTTCTCACTTTTACCCTTCTGATTCTCTCCTCTATCCAACTGCAGGGTAATAAGCAAGTGGCTGTGTGATGCTTAGGTGCCTGCTGGGGTATAAGCTCCATTTGGAATGCAGGTACTGCTTCTAGTAGTACAAAACAGAATTTACAGCTGAGTCTTGTGCTGGTAGCAGACACTATATCCCATACCATGCTCTTTATATGTAAGGTGGAAGAATCAATTAGAAACATTTCACATACATAAGAAGTGATAAAAAATAATGAAGTAGAAATCTTTTATGTCAAGCTGAAAAAAATAAAGTTGTATAGCTGTCTTCAAACTTAGTGTATAATTTTTAAAGTGGATAAAATACAACTGAACCCCTCTTCAAGTGTGCTTGCAAGTACCTGTTATACTTCCCCTGACATGAATGTCTCTTAGCCATCCGCTCCTCAGCAAAACAAAGCCTTCTCACTGTTTGCTGATGCTCTTAATTACTGCAGTCTAGCCCAGGTCAGGGAGCTGTACGTGCCTCAGAGCAGAGGTATCTAAACTCGTCGTGAGTAAGCTGCTCATCCCTGAGAAGGCAGCAGCACTGGAGCACTGCTCCCCCCAGGCATCGTGCTGCACAACCCGACC